GATTTTCGGCCCAAATGTGGTATCAATCTCCGCACACAATACAAAAGTATACAAAATTTGCGAACTTTGCAAGGCTATATTTTCCGCATTTTACAACATTTCGCAACCTTTGCAATTTTACTCATTTTAGAATTTAGTATATGCTCTTTCTAGCTGTGGTGATTTATTTGCTTCTCCTAGCCTAGTTATAAAATTAATCTGTAATGGGAATTGTCTATTTATAACATGCACAATTACAAATTGCAGGGGCAGATTTACTGTGAGCATGCAGGGGGGGGGGGGGATACCCAACCTAGTGATGGCTGGCATCCACTAAAGAAGTCCAGCACCACCCTAATAAAAATAGGCACGCTAGGCGTGCATGTATCTGCGCAAAATGTTGACCGTATCCAGCCACCATGCAGCTGTTATGCAGTCGTCATGTTCCCTAGCCAGTGCGCTAATGAGAGGCGTTCACATCCTCCCCCCCCCCCCCTTTGAACGCCTGACATTTTTTTTCTGGAGGAAGATTATCTCTCCTCACTGCACTGGCTAGGGACATGGCGGCAGTTGAGACAACATCAAAGGTTCGGACAAGGGATCGGATTTTGATTTGTATATGTACTCTGTGGCATCATGTTCGATTCCTCTGCCTGTCTTTCCTCCCTACACCTTTTAAAAAAATAGTTTGTAAGACAGAGCTCATAAAAAAGGATAAATTGAACAAAAATAATGAATTTGAACTCATGAATGAGGTATCCCCAGCTAAATCTTGAAAAGAAGTACTCCTCCTAAAAGCATGCTACGAGCTGTAGTAGTTAAAACAGTTAATAATTGCAGAGTATTATTAATCATATACGCAATGACTAAGTTATGGGTAAATTTCATCAGTGGTAAATTTACAACTGGCAATCCATACAATTTCCATTAGTTTATTTATTTATTTAGCTTTGCCAACTAGGGCAGGGTCACCACAACAGCATGTGCCAATTACTGTGGGCCCTTTTTACCTAACCCACCCTGTCAACTTTCCCTGTGGGAGGAAACCGGAGTACCCGGGGAAAACCCACGGCTTTCGGCAGAGCGTTGACTTTTACTCTTTTCACATGGGGACTGGGTTCGAGTCGCACTGAGAAGGTACTTAGTGAGACTCGAACCTGCAGCCTCAGAGGTGAAAGGCAAGTGCGCTAACCACTTGGCCACCGAAGCCACCGAAGCCCCTTAGTTGCAATAATTATGTCTGGCAAATGTGATGGACTATTGCTGTTTTGGCAAATATAATAAGGGATAACAATTTATAAATAAATTATCTAGGATATGAACTTTTATAATTAAATTATTTATTTTGTGCATGTGAATGTGTTATGCGAAAGCAGGCCTTCCCGTTGTGGATTTCGAACTAGCGTTTCAGCGCTTTAATTTCCGGTAATTGTTTTTCCGTTGAAACATTTTACTAAGGGCTATAAACTAGGACAATGACTCAATGTCAATGTTACTAAGTCTAGCTAGTGGTCTTTGCCCGTTGTTTACTTGTTTTCTTGTCCGTTGTTTATCATTTGTAAATGTAACTGTTATATTCGTGTTTATCTCGTCATTGGCAACATTTTGATATATAATTTATGAAGCTTTGTGAATCATTTCATGTTTTTATTGATATTTTGGAAATTGTAGCGTATTAAAAATAAAGGCCTCAAAATTATTTACTGCCTGGCCCCAGCTGGCCTTTTATACGCTACAATTTCCAAAATATCAATAAAAACATGAAATGATCCACAAAGCTTTGTAAATTATATATCAAAATGTTGCCAATGACGAGATAAACACGAATATAACAGTTACATTTACAAATGATAAACAACGGACAAGACTGAAACAACGGGCAATGACCACTAGACTTCACTTAGTTACACATGTCTATGACGCTACGGCTATTAGCAATCCGACAAAAATTTACTATGTTTCTGGTATTGAAACTAGATTGTGTTCACACTATAACGGAGTGGTTTGCCGTAGCGTATTAACTACGGACCACTACATTTTCCACTCTGGCTGCAAATCACTACACTACGGTATTAAAATTGCCGTAGCGTCATAGTGTAAACGCGACCTTGGCTTAGTATCAGTTTTCACATGCGAAATTTATCTTTGTATTTGGCACTATTTGCACGTTTTACTTTGCAACATAACAGTATTTCTTCGGCTACAACGAATACAATCTTTGTGGCCGATTACCACAATGTTTTAAATGTTTCTGATACTAGTGTATTAAAAGTCGTTGTGTGATTCTGTGAACATGTCGAGTGTTGTTTAAAAACCTTTGTTTAATGCAGACATTAGCATCAATGATAAGACTTGGCATCACCAAAGTCTAAATGTTTTGCTATAATTTTTTATATTTGCCATGTCCATGATACTGTGGATTTCGATCTAGCGTTTCAGCCGTTTAATTTACGTATATTCACTCCATCAAAGGCGGCCATTTTGAATTTGAATATGATCAATATATCCATCCAGTTACATTTTTTTACGGTTTTGCAAAATATAGAGATCAAAATGACACACGTGATGCTGATCGCTGTCGCTGATTGGCTCCGGGCTAACACACGGTCTGCACGATGGCAATGTATCTGCGCTAGCGCAGATTAGCGCAGATACAAAAATGTACTTGACCCACTGACTTGACCATACTGTATATTATTTGTTTAGCCATGCGTTTTCAGCTTTTTGAATAGAGATTTATTTAGTAAAACTTCTAGTGTTAGAACGTGTTTATTTCTTGAAATAGTTTAATTGATTTGTGAGGTGATGAGAAAATACTCAGAATGCTTTAAATATCAAGGTTAGATACGTAAACAAGTCCGGTCCTACTAAAGAATGCCCGGGAACGCCCGGGGAGATTCGTTGAATGCCCGGGAGTTGGGAAAGAATGCCCGGGGAAAATTACGTTCATAATTACGTTAGTTTACACTAATAAAATCACTTATTTTATGAAAAATTAAATATTCTTGTAATATATGGCATTGCAAAGAACTGTTCACGGAATGTCCGGCTGTCACAAAAGAAGGGCCGGGAGTCGAAAATGAATGCCCGGGGTAAAATTACGCAAGTAATTACGATAGTTAATGATAACAAGTCTTTTTTTTTTAATGAAAGTTTCTTGTGATATATGGCATTGCAAAAACTATTCACAGAATGCCTGGGGAAAATTACGTACCGCCAATGTCTTTTTCAAATCTACTCAGAAAATATCACTATCAGTGAAATATATTTTCGGTAGTGTAAAAAGACGTGTTTATTCATCACATTATATATACGACATTATAAAGGCTTTAGGTTATTCTGTGCTTTAGGCACTTATCATTAACTATCGTAATTACTTGCGTAATTTTACCCCGGGCATTCATTTTCAACTCCCGGGCATTCTTTTGTGACAGCCGGACATTCCGTGAACAGTACTTTGCAATGCCATATATTACAAGAATTATTTAATCTTTCATAAAATAAGTGATTTTATTAGTATAAACTAACGTAATTATGAACGTAATTTTCCCCGGGCATTCTTTCCCAACTCCCGGGCATTCCCGGGCATTCAACGAATTTCCCCGGGCGTTCCCGGGCATTCCCGGGCATTCTTTAGTAGGACCCAACAAGTCGAGGTTGTTACATAATATTAATATACAGTGTAGAATAATTTGTAATACTATACTATTAATAACGCCGTAGGAGACCAAACAATGGGTGATTTAGTTGATTGACGTAAGAAATGTATCGTATGTCATAAATGTTAGACTTCGAATTGATTGTCAGACTGAACGCACGAGAGAAAACCAGAAGGATTGTCATGTTATGTATTTTATCGTTTGAATCGTTTTAAATAAATATGTTTTAAAGTACGCGTGTGTGTTCTATTTCCGATGGTATTGTTCTGATAGTATACAGTCCCCACGAAGCGCAACTGTCTTGCGGTGTAAGACAGAAAAGTGCAACACTTGGTCCATGCGAACCGGATAGATTTCGAAAGAAAGAATCGAGATAGATTGATACGACAATGCCGTTGGACGAGCTGACAAAGAAAAGAAGAACACGCGCAGCGCACAGAGGTTCAGCAACGAAGATAGGAACGAAGATAAAAGAATGTTTAGCGAATGCGAGTGAAACGCCTCAGACGGACAAAAATGTGCTGAAACAGCTGAGAGACACGCTGAGCGAGAAACTCGAAGCCTTGAAACTTTTAGATAACGAGATTGTCGAGGTACTAAGTAATAGTGAAGCCGAAGACGCAGAACAACAGCTGGAAAAGGAAATTCAGGAGACAGATGATACGCGAGCTGAATTACAAAAAATAATTCTCGACGTAAATGACGCATTGTTCGAAGCGCCGTCACTACCACAAGGTCAAAGTACACCATCGAATCTGAGTATGAACGCTACACCAAAACAGACTGTTCGCGCAAGACTCCCAAAGTTAGAGGTGAAAAGATTTAATGGGAAAATTCAAGAGTGGCAAGAATTTTGGGACTCTTTTGATAGCTCGGTCAACCAGAATGACGCTTTATCCGATGTAGATAAATTCGCGTATTTGAAAGGTCTACTGGTTGGTCCCGCGCAGACAACTATCGCAGGGTTCACGTTGACAGCAACGAACTATAAAGAAGCATTAGAACTCCTGAAGACACGATATGGGAAGAAAACGGCGATACAGAGAACTCATATTCAAGCGTTAATGAACATAAAACCAGTATACAACGAGCGAGATGTGCGTCGACTACGGGAATTGTACCATGCCTGTGAGACAAACTGCCGAGGTCTGAAAACCCTGGGAGTGGACGAAAGTTCGTATGCTACGATTGTTGTTCCGGAAATACTCGACAAGCTGCCGGAATCCCTTCGTTTGACGATAACTCGTGGGGCAAGTGGATCAGACTTTCTAAGTTGGACGATGAAGGATATTTTAAAAGCACTGCTAGATGAAATTGAATTACGCGAAGCACACGAATCATCTACGACGAACACGTCAAAACAAGAACGAAGGAAACCACAGTTTCTAGATGGATCGGCGGCTGCTCTTGTTAATCATACCACCAGGGAAGGGAAGCCAAGATGCGTATATTGTTTACAAGAACATTTATCACAGGATTGTAAGAACATTCAGAATGCTGGTGAGCGTAAACAGATACTTCGTAAGTACGGACGGTGTTTTGTATGTTTAAAAAGAGGACATATTAGTAGTAATTGTTTAAATACGAGTAAATGTAGTGCATGCAGTAAACGACATCATAGTTCTATTTGTGAGAGCCATGCTAATGGGTCTATAACCGCTGACGTCGTTCATTCCACACATTCGTGCGTTGGGTCAGCAAATAGAGTAGCATTGCAGACAGCTCAGGCTTTGGTGATTGGAGGAAAGGAGAATGTGAGAGTGCGGGTTATGTTTGACTCGGGAAGTCAACGGTCATTCGTTACGGGCAAGGTAGCTCAGAAGGCAGGAGTGCCAGTAAAGAGGAAGGAATGGGTAGAAATTAGAACGTTCGGACAGGAGAAAGTTGAAGGGAAGTTGAGAGAAGTGTTTGAATTGAGTGTAGCCCCAGTACAGGGGGGAGAGAGTGTTAGCATTGAAGTTTATGCAGTAGACAGCATTTCGCAGATTAGGAATGAGCATGTAGAGACAAGGAAGAAAGATTACCCACATTTGCAAGGGTTATGGTTTTCCGATGTTTGTAAGACCAAGAATGTGTTAGAAATAGAGTTACTAATTGGCGCAGATTATTTGTGGTTATTTCAAGAAGGGCGTACGGTTAGGGGCAAGAGTGATGAACCTGTTGCGGTACAAACCAAATTAGGATGGGTGTTGTCAGGTCCACTGAAGAGTAGCTCTGAAGATGATGATGGTCCTACATCGTGTGCACAGGTAAGTATAAACCTTATTGGGCATGTAAATTCATCAAAGAATAGGTCCCTTGAAGCATGTGTTGAAAAATTATGGGATTATGAAACGTTAGGTATAAAGCATGAAGAGGAAGCTAGTGAGTTATTAAATGATTCAATACATTTCAATGGCCAAAGATATAGTGTAAGTTTACCTTGGAAGGAAGGGCATAGTTTATTGCCAACTAATTATAGCTGTAGTGTGCAGAGATTAAAGGGACAGCTTTTAAGATTAAAGAAGGAGCCAGAAGTTTTACAAGAGTATGATAGAGTAATTAAAGAACAGTTAGAGCTAGGTATTATAGAACCAGTTGTAGAGTTAGAGAGAGCTGATAAGATCCATTATCTACCACATCATGCTGTGGTTCGTAAAGATGCAAAGACCACTAAGGTCAGGGTTGTGTATGATGCATCGAGTAAAGAGACTAAGAAGGGTGTATCTTTAAATGACTGCTTGCATGTTGGGCCACTTCTATCCCCGTTGTTGTATCACATTATATTGCGTTTTAGAGAAAAGCGAATAGCGCTTGTAGCAGATATAGAGAAGGCTTTTTTAAACATTGAAATTGATCCGTGTGACAGAGATTGTTTGAGATTTCTTTGGGTGGGCAACATACATGAAGATGAGGTGAAGCCAGTAGAGTATAGATTTTGTAGAGTTGTTTTTGGTGTGAACTGTTCACCATTTTTGCTGAATGCCACACTTCAACACCATCTTGACCGCTTTTCGAAGGGTAATCCTGAATTGACTCGAAAGTTGAAGGACGGCTTTTATGTTGATGATCTGGTAACTGGAGAACAAACCCCTGAGCATGCATTATCATTATATGAGGCTTCTAGTAACAATTTAGCTACTGGGGGTTTCAAGCTAAGGAAATGGCTCAGTAATAGTAAACTTGTATTAGAGAAAATCCAATCAAAGGAAGAAATCAAGCCTGATAGAGGAAACTTGGCATGTGAAGAAACATTTGCTAAGTCATCCCTTTGCATGACAGGCAAAAATGACACATCAGAGAAAGTCCTTGGGTTAGCTTGGAATTGTACAACTGATGAATTTCAGGGTTTAGTTGAGAAAGCAAAATCGCAACCTGTAACCAAACGCAATATTCTTAGAATATTAGCTGGGTTGTTTGATCCATTGGGAATTCTTAGCCCAATGGTAGTAAGTATTAAGATGTTGTTTCAAGCACTGTGTTTGGACAAAGTAGATTGGGATTCTGAATTAAAAGGAAAATATTTGAAGCAATGGTTAGGTTGGGTTCATGATCTTGAAGTTGTAGGTCAAATAATGAAGAAGGGAGATGTAGTTTTAGTATTTGACGAGAATCTTAAGAGAGGATTTTGGAAGTTAGGTAGGATTGAGAGTTTAATTGTCGGTAGAGATGAAGTGGTTCGAGGAGCGAAAGTGAGAGTGATGACTAAAGGAAATCCAGTATATCTTAATAGACCAGTTCAGAAATTGTATCCTGTAGAGTTAAATGAGAACGGAAGCAGTGCGGAAGAAAGAAAGGATAATAAAGTTGAAAATGAAGTGGATGGGTATGATAACCAGAAAGGAAAGACGAAAATTAATGAGAAAGGAAAGACGGAAATGAATGAGAAAGACGGAGAGAAGGGTAAGGTGGAAAGCTGTGTCCATAGTAATAGACCTAGGAGAGCAGCAGCTTTGGATGCACGTTGGAGAACACAAGTCATGTTTGACCCTTACAGGCTCAAAGGGGGGAGTGTGTAGAATAATTTGTAACATTATACTATTAATAACGCCGTAGGAGACCAAACAATGGGTGATTTAGTTGATTGACGTAAGAAATGTATCGTATGTCATAAATGTTAGACTTCGAATTGATTGTCAGACTGAAAGCACGAGAGAAAACCAGAAGGATTGTCATGTTATATATTTTATCGTTTGAATCGTTTTAAATAAATATGTTTTAAAGTACGCGTGTGTGTTCTATTTCCGATGGTATTGTTCTGATAGTATACAGTCCCCACGAAGCGCAACTGTCTTGCGGTGTAAGACAGAAAAGTGCAACATACAGTCCTATTTTCAAACATACAACACTGCACTTTAACAAGCGAATCTATTGTATTGACTGCTAGCTACAGCAAATATCCGGTCACTGCACATATCTTTATAGACAAAAGATAAATAATGTAAAAAGTAACAGAACAACAAACATGCATATCATGGCCTGATTTTGAGGGGAGGTGTGGGGGAATGCGTACCTCCCCCGAGATTGTTTTGCACCTCCCCTTAGAATTTTTGCACCTCCTCTGAAAAGTCATGCACCTATCTCCCCTTGGGAAAGTTGCAATGATAAATCAAAGTGAAAATTTGACATTTTTGGTTGCTTAGAGTCAACACTTCGTAAGAAAGTTTTTTTTTTCTGTCAAATTGAAACAGTGATAGCCAATCATCTCTGTGTCAAGTACCCTTTTTCAATGCAATGTTTTGAAAGAAACTTTGTAGTAATTGTATTAAATAAAGGGTAAAATTGATTGAGTTGTACAGTCATAATTCATTAATACACTCAGTCTGATACATATGTACAGTCTAAGTCCTTAACATTCCATGGGGGTCGTGAGCTAAACCGCTGCACCTCCCCAACTATTTCCACCGAAATCCAGCCTTAATGCATATTTGGCATCTTACCTTTGCGATTGCATCTTTCCCCACCATCCAATGGGCAATCCTTTGACGTCCCAACTCGTTTTGTTACATTTACAACATCAAATTTGTCTCCAAATGTAATACAACCAATAAACCCTTGCCCTAGGGTCAAATTTTTGCCAACAACATTATATATTGTATGAGGAACGTCAACTACATATACCTTACTACCAAGACTGACAGACAACGTTGCATTCAGACTGGCAGTTCTAGGTGTAAACACTACATGATATGGTATATTTTGATCCGACTTGTTGCCAACATTTAAAACTGTCAAGTTAAGACTACCAGCTGTTCTCCATCTTAACGCTAATGAGCTTTCAGTAAATCGATTTGTTCCATAGTCCACTACTCCAGGCAAAACTGCAAGTTCAAAGTAACCATTATTCCCAATTTGTCGTAGAAGGCTACCGCCCTCACAAGTTCTGAACGATAGAGTAAATCGTTTTGTAATGTCTAAAGGCTTTGTTTCAATGTATGAAGTCTTGTTAAAAAATATCGATACAGACTCTCTTGCTAACAGCAACAGTAGGGTCACTATAATTGAGAACAAAAAAATGGTAACACATTAATAAAGGGGGTAATTAATAGGGTATTTTTCTGCTCCGTATTGGGGTAATTTCATAATTTGTTCTTCGTTCAGTCATCTTAAACATTTTAAACATATTAAACATGTATTGTGCTGGCGGGGAATATATAATATCCATTTTCAGCAGTATTTGAAGAATTT